GTACCTTCACCTGAAAATAAATCCTCGTTTTGCTTTCCTGACCGCCAGGTTTCGTCTCTGGATTCTTTCTGCAACAAGAACCTGCTCTCCAGTAGCACAACCACAAGGGCTTTGCTGTCCTGACTCCGTCCCTCCTGTCCTTTCTTGACGGCGTATTTAAAGCAAGCCCCAACCTTCAGTTCACCAGCATCACCACAGCACAAGTCTCTTAAAGAGAATGTCTTCTTACATCATCAGTGTCTCCCCACACCCACCAAAATGTCAGATAACCCCCACTATCGTCCAAAGCCCTGTCTGTGTTTGTATTTCCCTGCTGTAGAAGTGTCTGTCTAGTTTGACAGAAGCCTGATCCTAACAAGGGCATCTGTGTTTGGTTGTGTGTCTTAGGTTTTCTTAAAGTCCCTCTTTGCATAAGACCATTGCCTGGGTTTTGTTTTGCATCACAACATTGGCCTTTGAAGAAAGCAGGTCAGTTCCCTGTGGAACGTTTCACATTCTAGATCCGGTGTCGTCGGGCTCAAGGGCCTGGAGTCTGTGTTCCCCACAGTCTCGATGGCTTGCAGGGATTCTGATGGTGTCGGCCCCAAATACAAGACAGGGAGCTCTGCAGCACAGCTCAGGCAGGACCCCACCTCGCCCCTCTATGGCCAGGGCCTGACCAGGGGCCAGTCCCCTGCTTCTGTGGGCTTTGAGACTCCAGATGTAGCGGCAGCCAGTGGCCGAAGAGCCGTGGCCTCTGACGCTGTCCCTGGTTCTGACCACCTGGGAGCTGGCTCTGTTGTGGGGGCAGTTGGTCACCAATCATCCTGACCCTGAGTAGAACATTGAACTTGGGCCACGGCCATGAAGTCACCCAGGCTGTGGGTACTTGTTAGAGTGTCTCTGGGCAGGGTGAGATCCCCAGGCCCTCACCAGCATCTGGGCCTCTGGGCCAGGTCAGGCTGGGAGGAGGGAGGTCAAGGCCAGCTGTCATCAGCTCCATGTAGGGGCCATCCAGACTGAAAGGACTATGGCCAACAGGGACACATTCTGCCCTTTCTTCTGCTAATCATGACTGATTGTTACTATTGTTTGCAAAAAATCCTGATAGGGTGACACCATCCCACGTGCATTGGGAAGAAGGCAGAGTAGCCTAGAAACCAGGTTAGGAATCTCTGTCTCCCTGGCAACCAAGCCCAGCACGAGGAGAGCAGGGTCTTTGCTCTCTGAGGAGCAGGCCCAGAGCTGCACCCCTAGAGGCTGCTCCAGCCTCATGGACATGACTCTGGACATCTAACATCCGCCCCCGTCACACCCAGTCCAGGCCCTACTCACCTGTACTAGCTTTTGTTGCATAACAAATTACCACCAAACAGGAGGGCCTAAAACAACACTGTTTACGCTCCGAAAGTGTTCATGGAGTTAGAACCCAGGTACTGGGGCCTGGGTGGGGTTCACATTCTCTCATGAGGCTGCTGTTGAGCTGTCGGCTGGGGCTGTGATCTCATCTAAGGGCTCGGCTGAGTTGGAGGGGGGTCCCACTTCCAAGCTCCCTTACATGGTGGTTGGTGAGCCTTGGTCCCTCTCCACCTGGCTGCCTCTCAATATGGCAGCTGGCCTCTGCCAGGATGAGCAAACACAGCGGGAGACAGAGCCCACATCAGAAGCCATAGTCTTTGTAAGCTAATCCCAGAGGTGACATCCTGTCACCTGTGCCCCACTGTCTTCACTAGAAGTGAGTCAGTAAGTCCAGCCATACCCAAGGGGAGGGGGACGCACCAGGACAGAATAGCAGTGAACTCTTGGGGGCTCCAAGAGCCTGCCCCCCACACCTCCAGTCCTAGATGTTGGGGCCTGGCTACCTGGCCCTGGGCCTGACAGGAACCTTCTAGGTCTCCAATGAGAAATTTGGTAGAGATTCATACCCCAGGAGTGGGTTGGCGCTGGTCAGCAGGGACCCCACCACTGAGTGCCACCCCACCATCACCCCATGCCTGGGCAGGGAACTAGAATCCAGCCGACCAAAAGGGTAGAGGCTGTCCTGTAGCAGGGCACCCCGGAATACCTACTCTGCCTCCCGACCCCCGAAAGGCCGTGGTGTGAAATCTGAAATGCTTGTGTCAGTTCTGACAAGGACGGCTGGATCCAGACACTGCCCGGCTCAAGCTTTTGCCCGGCCCCTTAGCTTTTAGGATAAAATCCAACCCTTTTTGGAGTCATGGCCTGAGCCATCCCCACCACCCTCCTCCCCCCGCCCCCTCCTCCTATTTCACTCGGCTCCTCCCCTCAACACTCCTGCTCTCTCTTATCTCAGGGACTTGGAGCTGGCTGGCCTTCCTCCTCCAGGCTCAGTGGCTCCTTCAGGGAGGCCTTGTCCACGCCCCACTGGATTCTCTCTATGCCGCTCATCCCATACTGCAGCCCCCTATCAATTTGTCCAGCCCCTTGCTGCAATGTGAGCTCTGCCGGGCTGGGACCCAGCTCTCCCCACGCTGTCACTGGTGCCAGCTGCACCTGGCACGCGGCCGGTGGCTGACTGCTACCCACTGGAGGGGTGGCTGCTGGCGCTTGCCTGGCACTGGGTAAGCACTCTCCTCGTGGGTCTCATGTCATCCTCACTAGCTTTCTGTGGTTACTAGCAGTGCCCTCATTTTACAGACGAAGGAACTGAGGCTTGGGGGTCACACAGTGTACCTGAAGCCACACACACTGAGTGTGGTCCCAGGCTGTCTACATCCTCGCAGAACGGAAGCCCTGGACCAGGCCAGCCCTGGGGACAAGGAACGCCCCCAGGAGCCCCGAACGGCACTCAGGCTGTAGCGATGGGCCGGCCTACTGGGACTGAGTCCTCAGTGAGAGTGTGTAAGTACCCGCAAGTGCGGTGGTGAAGATGCCCGGCAGCGTGAGTGCGCGCATGCCTGGCTGGTGTGTGCGCCCTGTGCATGAGCGCGCAGGGCAAGCGGAGGACAGCGCCTTCCATGGCGTGGGGCCTGGTTGGCTCCTATGGATGAGGTCAGGGGGAGGCGCCTGCAGCCGCCTGGGGAAGGGGGAGGCTCTGTGGGTACAGTGGGACTGGAGAAGGGAAGGGGGCCCCTGTGTGTACCCTTCCTGGGACTCGAGCTGAAGTGGGCCTTGTTGGCCAGACTGCAGGGCAGACAGACAGACAGCTCTCGACTCAAGGAGTCAGGCAGCAGTGAGGGGCCGTGGGGGTACCTGTCAGCTGGGGGATGGCCAAGCCGCTGTGCCAGGACCTGGTCCTCACCTTAGCAAGAAGGGCCTAGCGTCCGCTTGTCGAGGCTGGGCCCCACGGCCTGCATGTCCCGGGCCTCTCTCTGCACTTTCTTCCCAGCGATGGCATCTGCTCTCTGTACCAGGCACGCCCAGACCTCCTCGGATCCCGCATGTGCTTGAGCTGCTCTTACTGTCCTGCTGAGACCTGCCTGCTTCCCCAGCCAGGGCTGGGAGGCGGGAATCCCGGACAGACAGTGCCAAGTCTGTGACCCATCCACCTCCTCTGTTTCCACTGCCACCCCCAGAAGAGTCACCATCCTCCTCATGGGCCTCCCTGTTCCCCTCTAGAACCTTCCAGCCTATTCTCCATTCGGCAGCCACAGGGATCTCCTGAATTGTAAGCCAGAGATGTTTTTCCATCCCCATCGCTGACCTCTGACCTCAAAGCCATTCCCAAATTCTGTTTCCTTTGTTCATCCTCCTTTGATGAAGAAGGGTAGGCCAAGAGAATCAACAGAAAGGGGCCAGAGCCTCAACCTCGGTGAGGTTTTAGCCCCACTAGCACACACTTGCCTGGGGTGGAAGCCACTCCTGTGTCAGTCAGGATTTTCTAGACAAATAGAACCAATGGGATGTGTGTGTGTGTGTGTGTGTATAGATATAGATACAGAAACAGATATAGAGAGAGGCACTTATTTTAAGGACTTGGCTCATGTGATTACAGAGGCTGGCAAGCCCAAAATCTGCAGGTGGGCCAGCAGGTAGGAAAGCCAGGAAGAGCTGATGTTTCAGTTCAAGTTTGAAGGCTGTCTTCTGGCAGAATTCCCTCTTGCTCAGGGGAGGTCAGGCTTTTGTGCTACTCCGACCATCAACTGATTGGATGAGGCCCACCCACACCATGGGGGCAGTCTGATTTACTCAAAGTTCATCATTCATCTCACATCCTCACAGAAACATCCAGAATAACATTTGACTAAATATCTGGGCACCATGGCCCAGCCAAGTTGACATATAGAACTAACCACCACCCTCCTCAATGGGCACTTTGCTACCTGCAGTCCAAAGACTTCCCAGCTAGTATGCTACAGTGCTTAAGACACAGGTAACAGGATTTCAAAGTCACAGAAGACCTGATATTTGCCCCCTCTTCTCCCAGCCCACCCGGGTCACCGTGTGCCAGGTGCACGGACCTCCTCTCCGCTTTCACCTGTGCCGGAGGTGGGCTTCCCCCGTGAACTGCTTCTGCTGGTTGTGCTTGAAACTTTCCTCCACAGCCTCGGTGTCTGAACACGATCTAAAGCTCGTCATGAGCAGAGCTGTCTCCTAAACAACGCAAGGGTCTTTTGCCTCTCGCTATGGTGTACCTAGGTGTACATTTTCTTTAATTATTCTCCTTAGTCTATGTATACTGTGCTCTCTGTAAGTACTTATCTCTCACAGTTCTGGAATATTCTCAGGCATCTGCTCTTCAAATATTGACTCTCTTCCTTTGGGATTTCAACCAGACTCATGGTAGCTCTTGGCACACTGTCTTTCACGTGTCTTCACACCCCTTCACTATTTTCCACCTCCTTATCCCTTGTGCTACATTCTTGAAAATTTCTTTAGATTTATCTTCCTATTCACAAATCCCCTCTTCAGCAGTGTCTAATTTGTTGCCCAATGCATTGGCTGAGTTTTTTTTAAACAAGCTTTATTGAAATATAATTCACACACTGTAAAAGTCACCTTTTTAGAGTGTACAATTCAGTAATTTTTAGTTTATTCACAAAGTTATGCCGCTATTGTTACTATTATAAGAACATTTTCATCACTCTGAAAGAAAACCTTGACTGTTGGCAGAAACTACCCATTCCTTCCCTCTTCCAGTCCCAGGCAACCACTATAACCTACCTTCTGTCTTTCAGATTTTTCTGTTCTGCACACTTCATATAAATGAAAGCACACAATAAATGTTTTAAAATTACTTTTATTTTCACTGAGCATGATTCTTTCAAGATCTCTGCTGACCTTTTAATTTCAATGAAGGGTCTCACTTAGAGAGGCTCTATTGTTCCCATGAGGTGTGGTCGGGTTTGATGGTGCCTTGTTCCTATGGCTTGACAGTGCTTGTTACTGTATCTTAAACCTACAAAACAGATTAACTTTATATTCTGCACCTCTTTGATTGAGAAAGTTTGTGGGGATTTAAATCTGTCACTCGTCACTGTTTCTGCTGCATTACTTTAGAGCCATATTTCCTTTGGATGTTTGCTAATTTTTGACTTTGAACTCATATTTGAATTCTACCGAATCCAAGGGAAATCTAGTCCTCAAGCTGGGGTTGCTTTTCTGTCTCCTCCCAAGCAGCAGTGGCACGGTGAGGTGTGCAAGCTCCAGAGTTCCAATACTGGCTGTGCCATCTGGGTGCTGTGAGACCTTGGGCAAGGAGCTCAGCCTTTCTGCGCTGTCTCCCTCATTTGTTAGGATGGGACTGATAACTGCTGGTAGGACTGTTGTGAGAAGGTAATGAGATAATGTGTATCAAGTGTTTAGAACAGTTAGAACACACAGCATGTGCTCAATCAATACTAGCTACGACTGGCACGTCTCAAAAGACATATTAGCGACACTCACTTGTCTAAAGTAAGATTCAGAGGGGCAGAAAGCCTCTTACTGTGCTGTCCATGGTCCAGCGCAGCTCTAGGCCAATAGCGGGTACTCCATAAATATTCGATGGACAAACGAAGGCAGGACTGAAGGAACGACCCCAGCATTCACAAGGTGGTTGTCGCTTACTCATGCCTAGCAAATATGGATTCCAGGCACGGGGTAGGGGGATGGCAGGTGCAAAGGCACAGCACGTCGACGTCGCCTGATGGGGCTGGAAGGTGAGGGACAAAGCTGAGAAACTGGTCGGGGCAGGTGGCGGAGGGCCTTGAATACCCAGACCAGGATTTGGGACTTGCCTTCGGGTGTGGGCGTGGTTGGAGGCAGCAGTCCATAGAGTTGCGCTACTGGTGGGGTTCTGCGTGCTTTCAGAAGGAGACCGGCCTCAAGTGGAAGCGGGGTGGGGTTGGAGAGCGGAGGGCCCAAGGCTGCGAGTCTGTGAACAGGGATCTGTGCTAGCATTCGCCGCGCGTTACTCCCTCCCTCTCTGCGTCTTTGTGCGTTTCGCTTCCTTTCGCAGTAAACGTTCTTCCGAGAAATTCCAAGGGGGTCTCAGCCAAGCAGAGGGGGAAGGGATCCTGCCCACGCCTGGGCAGGGAGAGGTGGAGGTGGGAGGGCGCACGGGGTAGCGGCCCAGGGAGTGGGAACCCGAGAGGGCGGGCGCGCGCGGGC